GGGGGGGGGGGGGGGGGGGGGGGGGGGGGGGGGGGGGGGTATAGGCCATGGATGGTGAGAAGGATGGATTGGCACTAAATCAAATAAGGTAAGAAGATGCACACTGTGTGCTTTTGTCAAAAACGCTGCTGCCCAGCGGAGGACAGGTCATGACTTGCTACAAAACCTCCCTCAAGCTTTGAATCCTATAGGAAGCCCTCAAAATGGATCAATTTTATAGCGTTTGGGACTGATCGTATCTCTTATCATGGCTTTTCGCATCTTATTTTCAACACATTGCCTTGGCGCCAACTTGTTGTTTTTGCCCTTGGAGAACTTCTTGAAGCTGTATCACATTATTTGGCAATGTTGTTGAGTCATCATGACTTCAAAATAAGGATCGCCGCAAATGGGTTTTCTGGAGGGTGGTTTGGGGGATGGGGGTTTTCCTCAGCTTGGCTTCCATTGTCCGTTCAGCATACAAAATTCAAAATAGTGTATTTTCTAGGTATGGGTCAAGATGTGGAAGCACGAGCGTACTTACATATCGACAACAAGCCTGGCATGTGGGCGGGGAAGCACTGACCACCACCTCATCATAAGAAACAAGATGCAAGATTTGTTCAGCGTCATACGTTACAGCATATATGCGGAAGCGGGCTGTTGCTGTTTGCCACCATGAGATATCTCATCGATGTGGAATTTTACGGTAATTTCGATTCCATGCAGCAACACCCTACTTCTGCAAATCGGGATGGAGCTGAAAACAATGTTGCTGGTGCGCTTCTAGTCATTGTTGCTGCAGTGCCCATGGCAACAACATCTCCAAGATGTTGATACCCATGTTGATAGGGATTGTTGTACATCAGAATCACAATTGTTGTTTTTCTAAAATAGAAGAACAGCTTTGCATTTGGCAAAACGTTGCAAATCATACCCCATTAATACCAATGGCATCAGGGCAATAATGTTGTGGGAGATTTGCTGGAGCGTCAGCCCCGCATACGTGTAGGCATTTCCAAAGTGCCTAATCGTCAAAGCCAACGTCTCTGTTGCAGCCCAAGGATGCTTGAATCCCAGGACCCAAAGGACCAAGCTGGTGAGGCTTGGCGCCACTCCCCGGTGGAGTTTGGCACTAGGTTTGGAATGCCGTCAGGTGCCGTTGATCCATTTTCTTGGAAATTTTTGCCTACTTGGCGCCGTTGTTTGGGTTAATTTGGCAGAATTTGTATTTTTGTGGAACTAGTTTTGCTTTGGCGCCGTACGGCGCCACCTTATTCAATTCCAGGCCGTTTTCCACTGTACAAGTTATTCTGGTTGCCACACTTTGCTGTTGCCTTGGGGATGTGTGTTTTAATGGCGAAAAGTGGCACTTCACGGGTGCCCGATCTCGCCAGCCGTGGGGGCCAATCGAGCCCCGCAGGTGGCGGGATTGGGCGCTCGCAAGGCGCCATTTTCCTGGCGAAAAGTGGTACTTCACGGGTGCCCGATCTCGCCAGCCGTGGGGGCCAATCGTGTGGCGGGATTGGGTGCCCGCGGGGCGCCTTTTTCATGGCGAAAAGTAGCGCCTCACAGGTGCTTGATCCCGCCGGTCACGGGCCCCATCGAAGACCCCACGGGTGGCAGGATTGGGTACCCATGAGGTGCTGTTTTCGGGGAAAAAAGTGGGGCCTCGTTGCAACGCTGCGCCACCCACACCTGCGTCCGGGCGCTGACCCCCTTTCATTGCGACGTTCTGCACGGTACCTGCAGCACCGGGCTGGCGTCTCCTCCAATTACTATTCCAGGTTCCGTTCTTTGGCCGTTCCTGTTGGGCACTGGGGACCCGTTCCAAAGAACGGGAACTAATTTTGGTCAGTTCCGTTCCAGTTTCATTCCCGTTCCATTTTAGTTCCTGACAAGAACTAAAATAGAACGGGAACGGAACTTCCCATTCCATATGGGCCCATCCATGCTTCGACATTGAAGGCTACCTCCTTACCTTGTTATGTACTTCAAGTAAAACTTCATGATGATGTGTCAATGTTGAAGATATCTTGACAAACAACATTGAACGTATTGTGCGTGAATATAACGTCCACCGTCACCATGAACGAATAGAGCTCCCAGCGGAGGAGCGCCACCATGGTACACCCAAATGCGCGACGCATGGCGTTGAGCCCACCTCCCTACCCTGATGCCCACACACCGACAGCGCCCTCCACCCTGCCCAATCACAAACAACATTAGCATCATGGTATTGCTTGTCCTTAATGTGTTGATGTGTCGGGCATCCGCGCAGCGGACCAACGCAACGCGCAACTCACGCGGAGACAGACGCAAACTTGAGCCAATGCCTTCAGCCGCGAGGCGTCAGGCGTGGAAGGGCAGGTCTTACATTTCACCACACCCATTTATAGTACACGATTCCTCGTTCGTTTTTACTTGCACCGCTGCACTCGCTGGCTCTTTCTGTCAGTACTGCCTTCTCCCCCACTTCCCAGTGAAACCCAGTAACCCAACTACCTTTGACAGCCTGCCCCATGATAACGCACCCTCACTCCTACCCCGTAGTCTCCCATAGCCCTCCCTATTTCTGGCCGACTAGCCGTGCTAGCGCGAAGTCCCCCATAGCCCTTCCTGATACTCTCTCCACTTTCTCTTACTGCCCCGCTTCTGCGCCTACTTTACCCGCCTCATGCGCTGACCGGTACTTTGTCTTGGCGCAGCTACGGGCTTTTCCTTCCCATACAGTATCGACGCTCATGAACACCGATGTTGAAGCTATCTCCAGGAGCATCAATTAAATGGGCTGTGAGCGAATGGAACTATAGCCCCGTCACCCACAGCGACAGAAACTTGTGAAGAAGGGGCGCCAACAATGCGTGCCACCCCGCGACACACTGCTGTCAGCCTGCCTCCCTGCCCCTTGCCAGCACAACAGCAACGCCCTCCGCCCCAGCCGCGTCCAGATGCCCGACTTCATGTGCGTGCAGTGCTTCTCCTGCCGCACCTTCCAGGTGCAGCAGGCCAAGAAGTCCAGCAACAAGTTCGCCTGCCGGATGTGCGGCGAGAAGCAGTCCGTCCGCAAGGTCTTCGCGTCGTCGCCCGCCGCCAGGGACGTCCGCGCGGTCGTTCAGGAGCTCAACCTCGCGCGGGGGAGGCTGGAAGGGGCGGCACCCGACGGCGGGGATGTTTCGTCGCTTGTCGTGGTTGGAAATCGACGAACGGACGACGGCCCTGGGGGTTCCGAATGCGCGGCGACTGCACCAGCTCTCGAAAGAGATGCACACATTTTCGAAAGAGGGAAATGCATTTTCAAAAGCGATAAATGTGTTTTCGAACGAGAGAAACGCATTTTGGAAAAAGATCGGTTTGATGGACCAATATCATCGAGAGAGAGAGGTATATGTTCGAAAGAGATTGGCGATGGATGGACTGAGGAAGGGCGGGATGCCGCCGGCCACGCTGGCGAGGAGGAAAGTGGTGGGGTGGGAATCGACTGGGGGAAATATTTGTCCGACGGGGAGAAGGATGCGGATGGCGCCAAGGGGGGTGAGGATGGGGCTACTGGCGGGGAGGGGCCGAGCTACACGACCGTGCCGCCGGACAAGGCCCGGAGGAAGCGAGGCAGGGGCCGGGCGGGGGATGTCTCGGAGCCTTGTCGGGGGAATGAGAGGCGGAGGGATGCATCTGTGGGGCTCGGTTCGCTGCGCGGCTCAGGGTTGATTCCATGCCAGAAAGGTGGTGATGATCGGCGAGGGGATCGCCAGGTGGGGGGTGGCAAACGCAGGTGTCGCGGGCGGGGTGGCGACGGGGGGAGTGGGCTCTGGGGGCCTGGGCGGTGCCCGTTGGGACCTCTGTTGAATAGAGAGCCATCAGGGGGATTGAACCGAGCTGATGTGGGAGGAAGGGCATGTCAGGTGTCACGTGCGGACGCCAAGGGGGCGGCGCGTGGGGGCTGTTCGGCTGGCAAGGGCGAACAGGAGTGCGGATATCTTTGCCCCTGGGCATTGTCAGAGGTGCCTTCTCAGCAACCGTTGGCAATTGCATCGGAATCAACAGCTGGTCCAGCAGGCAGTGCGGTTGCCGCCGTGCAATGGGAAGGTGGTGGTGGTGATGGCCACGATTCTGTGCAGGCGTCGGGGCGAGAGGACCGTGGCTCCGGTGTCTTTGAAAGGATGGGAAAGGACAGCTCCAGCAGGCCCTGCGAGAGTGGACTTTTGCAGAGAGGAGAATGGGCACGCTCAGAAGTTTTGGAAAGCAGCCCTGTCAGTGTGGGCCGTTCTGGTGGGGAGCAATTGGCGTTTGCAGAGTTTTTAGAGGCCAGCCCAGGCACCACTGACGGTGGACAATTTGCAGCAGATAGTGGAAAGGAGCTCCAAGGATGTAAGGGGGGTCAGAGCAATTGGGCACTTACTGGGAAAGAGCCAGGGGCATTCGACTCAGAGGGCTGCGATCTGGTCCTCACAACACATCTGAACTGAGCTTCGACTGGTCTTGATAGATCCCAAATATTTGATCAGTTTTGCTCTCAATTTCCCAGCAGAAGTCGTGTGTCGGGCAAACGATCCACCCTTATCCAACTCCAGTCAATGCATCTTTGCCAGCCTGTGCACTACAGAGACATCCTCCTCATATACATGACATCGCCTGGCCTGCCCCACACAGCCAGTGCCCAGCAAGGCCTGGGCGCCTGTATTCAAAATTGCCCAGGCTCTGCCCGGACATAAACCACCCTGCCATCCAAATACTTGCCAACCAGCGGCGTCTTCTTTGAGGCAGCCAACTTCTCTGGGTTCTTCATCTTCTTGGGCCCTGGGTTCTTCTTCGCAGGTACCACCATGGGGTGCTCTGCCAGGTACTGGCGCCGCTCTGGTCGGCAGTCCTTGAAGGGAAGTTTCCACAGATCTATATCTGCTTCCTTTGCCATCGCATCCAGACCCTTCTTTCGGATAGTCCGCAGAGCCTGTCATAAAAATGAGCAAAACTTTCAAAATACTGTTCGCCACTGTTGTGGCAGGGGCACAGAGCTCAGGCCAGCCCAGAATCGCCATCATACGTACCAGCAGGTTCATGAAACCACTATGCCATTCCTCCACTACACTCACACTGACAATTTTCTGGTGCCATTTTGGCTGCAGCATGTTACAGAACATCCAAAATCCTGTCTTTGAGATATTGCTCACACCAACGTCCCTAACATCATTATCTTTGTCCTTCACTTGATCGTGAAAGAGAAGGGGAGGAATGCAATACAACTAGCCACCCAGGAATAACCACCGAAGTTAGCATTCGCCACCTAGATACCCATACTCGATTCATCCCAATGGCATTGATGGATGAAAGCATTCAAACAATGGGCAGTTTCCTCCCGATCACACTCCCAAGATGCTGTTCACTTTTGCCAAGTTTGCGCACAAATCTCATAGCAGAAAGGGGAGTCAACCTGTAGCATGAACAAGTGCATAACATTTGCTCAGGGGCACCACACCTTTGCACAGATCCTCAGCTTCACCATTCGTTGGCCCTTCTCCCAGTACACACTGTGCCACTGAAGGTTCACCCGCTGCACATGTTTGTTTCGCTTTCCAGAGAAAGTGACTCTGTTACCATTGTTCGAGAATTTCTTTGTGAGTTGGCATTCTCTTCTCACTGGTAAGAGCAACACGGAGACATTTCAGTACAGGAGCTCTGGAACAATCAGCAAAGAACCAAACTCATAAGAGCACTCTCAGGAGCATCAACTCTGCTGCCCATCCACTCATCCTGAGCTCAATGCAGACTGTGTGCTGGGGAAAATGAACAAACGGCACGCATGAAGTTGCTCGTATAAACGCCTGAAGACGCAAAGGCAGTGCCATGTCACAATTCGAATTGTGTGGTCAACCTCGTTTCCCCACCGCAAAGCGTCAGGACACTGTTTAGACGTTCAATGGCCAATTGATACTCCTGTGAACCTGAGCTGACCTGTTTTTGCCCAGGGCAGTGGCTACGGATTGCTGAATCCCCAGTCTAAAGGGCTGTCGCGAGAGCGTGTGATAATCAACAGGGCCACCGCAACCACCCGCGTGCAGACCAAATCAAACAATCGACGGCGGCGGGTTTTCAGACTGCTTCTCTTGCAGCTCAAAGCCCACTTGAGCATCCTGAAGAGAAAAGCGATGCACTTGCCCATCTGCTCTAACGCCGTTGATCACCAACGCGGCGCCGCCCGGTGGATACAAGAGCGCGTCGCAGCAATGGCAGGAAGAGCCGACGCGTATAAGGCCAGGATTCATTGTAACGAGCAGGAAGAGCTTGCCACACCCCGCCCCCCCTCCCCCTGCTGAGCTAAAAGTGGTGAGATTCTGCACCAAACTGCGACCCACGACGCACAAGTTCCCGGATGGAGGATGAAAAAGCGCAACACCGCGTGGGATGCCCGGCAAGACAATGGGCAGTCGTGCTCCCCGCCTGGGTCACCCAAGGCGGCGATGCCGTTCATTCGCCCCCGTAAATCCAAGCGCAGGGCGGGGAGAGGGAAAAAAGTTCGGTCGACCTTCGAACCGCGGCCGGCGGGAACGCGACTCGCGCGGCGCAAGTTCGCCGTCCACTCACTCTCGACGGGCATCACAGCCCTGCCGGCGGCGCCTTGGGAGATGCTCAGCCGCCTGAGGCCATCCACAACTCCCGCGAAGTCGCTGCGGGACGAGGAGGCCGCGCCGGGCGGCCGCCGCGCCAGCAGCTGGGAGGCCATCCTCGCGCAGCGCACCGGTGTAACGATTGGTGGCGCAGGGGCGGGGTTGCTTTGCACGGGACGGCGATGAGGTTACTACTTCGAAGCGACGAAGCACTTTTTTTCTGGTACAGAGTGTTTTTTCTTCTGCGACAGTGAAATTGTTCTTTTTTGTTCTTGTGTGGCCAAGAGGCGCTCTGGCAGGAATATCGGAGTACCTTGGCCGTATCAGAGTCAATAAAGTGCAGCCCCCCCCGTTTAGCATGGAAATAGGGCGGGGAAATGCGCACCCGTTTGATGGCCCAACCCGTGGTGGCTGCGGGCATGCCACGACTAAGTGAGCATTGCCTGTCCCAAAATGCGCCCAAATTCTGTTCATAATTCATCTCCTTCGATCTTTGTAAATGATTCAGAGGAAATTAGTTGTGACCACAAATTTTGCACATGTTGGGTGGGAATGAATATTCAAGAAAAAACGCAGGCAAGGCAAGGGCTCAAGCTCCGGTACCCCGTTCTCCCCGAGAAAGGCAGCTTGAGACTTCTGTTCAGCAAAACTGCACCAAGGCATCGCTGCCCATGTCAGGAGACGTCAAGCTCACCACAACGACCACGACACTAACGCGCGGATGAAGTTGCGAATTGCCGTTAATGCCGCGCATCGGCGACCGGGCCGGAAGGTTGCCAAACTCAGTAACCTTGTGGGAGCCTTGTTTGAAGAGCTAGGCGCGCCTTGCCCGGTGTCCCCCTTCGGCTTGCTCCCCCCTCTCCGGGGCCTCCCGGCCGATGGGCACCCTGGTCTTCCCCAATGGCGCCAAAATGGCCCTGGCGCTGGGCGCATGCGTGGAGCTGGGGCGCGCCCACCTGGGCGCCATCTGGGGCGCCATCCACGTCAGCCGCGTGCAGTGCGAGGTCCAGCTCATGGCAGGCGGCCCCAACGGTCCCGGCCGGCTGCGCGTGGTCAGCCGCAGCAAGGTCAATCCCACGGTGATCCGTGGGCCTGGAAGACAGATCAAAGAAACAAGGTCGGCTCGGGGAACCTGCAAACAATCTGACTCTAGTGTCTGCTAGAAGAGAATATAAAAACGTTACTAAAGAACAATCGGTTTTCGCTCAAAGGCGATCAACAAACAGAGAAACAGATAAAACAAAAGGAGATTAAAACTCTCAAATGAATAAATGCTCCCTCAAGGTAAAAGCTAACTCAAATTCGAATAGGAAACAGGGGATTGATGGCCGCGGTGATGGCATTGGAATTGGGGATGAGGAGATGGGCGAGGCGGAGTCGAATGGGGTTGGGGGGGCGCTGGACGGGGCGTCCCAAGCGGCGGGGTCGGGTCGGGAGGCGTGTTGGAGCAATCCGACGCTGCTGATCCTCGTGGGGGTGCAGGGCAGCGGGAAGTCGACGTTCTGCGAGGAGCTGGCGCGGGGAGGGCCTGTGGAGTGGCGAAGGGTGAACCAGGACGAGATGCGGCGGAGTGGGAGGGGGAAGCGGCAGGACTGCGTGGCGGCCGCCGGGAGAGTGCTGGGGAGCGGCAGGAACTGCGTGATCGACAGGATGAACCTGACGGCAGGTGCGGTAAAATGGGGCTGACTTGGGGGATTCCGCAATTCACAAAGGATTGTTGCGACAGCAGGGCAACTCGCCTTGCAGTGGGCGCCAATCTTCCGAGCATATGTGTTTGTGAGACTCTCTTCCGTGCCATTGAAGATGATGTCGTTGGCTCTAATTTCGCGGTGATTACGTTTACCACGAATGTCAAAGCGCTGTCCTGCCACCTTTTGGCCGAAGCCATGCGTTGTACGCAAAACAAGTGCTCGATGGATCTGCTTTCCCTGTTCCCAGTTCAGAAATGCGCCCCCATCTGCCGTTCCCTGGCATCCATGAGCGATCGCTGTTTTGGGGGAATGTGGCTGTGTGCCCAAGAATTTCTGCTCCAGCTGTGCCACATGGACTGTCCAAGCGATCCATAGTCTGGACATACAAGCCGAGTGCCTGTGATCAAAGTAGAAATTGCGAAAACTTGTGAATTGCCGGGATACATCGTTACACATGCTGCAATTGGCTTTGGGGATAATGTGTCACTGGACCGTGCTGCAGATCAGAGGAAACCATTTATTCAGGTGGCCAGGCGATTGGGCTGTGCTGTTCATGCCATCGTTCTCAACCTGCACCCTGATGTTTGTGCAAATCGCGTTGCCCAACGCAAGAACCATGAAGGCAACGTTGAAGGTAACAAGGGGAGAGGCCTGGCCTATGCTTCATACAGGGACCTCTCTCAGTGTGGTCCCCCAAGTTTGACCGAAGGGATCAGCACTGTCACCATCTGCAATTCTCCTGAGGACGTGCAGAAGGTGCTTCACGTGTGGAAGGGCTATTCAGGAAGCTCGTTGAAAGCTGAGGATTCCGCCCATAAGATCCATTGGCCACCTGCAGCAGATGTCCCAGAAGCAGGCGAGGCTATGGTCAATTGGCCACATTCTGGGGGCACTTCAAAGGGTGGGGCGGGACGAATGAAAGGCAGGTCAACAGCAAACACACGAACAGGCGGTAACAACAGATTGATGCCATCTGAAGGTGCTCAGGGGACTTTGCTGACTCTCAGCAGTGGAGGGGTACCTTTGAAGCGCAATGCCTTTCAAATGATGATGGAGGCGGCTTCAAGACAAGGTGAGGCTTTGCACAAGCATGGGGCTGATCTTGCTGAAGATGAAAAGAGCGGGAAGCAGCCAAGGACAGCTGGAGGTGGAGGCCGTGGTTCAAGACATGGCTGGCAGGACGTCCTTGTGCAAAAGGCACAGAATCCAGAGCGTTTCCGTGAAGAGGACCCTGACATGCTGGTCGATGATACAACGATTGTGCTGAAGGATATGTACCCCAAGGCTCGTCAACACTACCTGGTCGTCAGTAGGGATCCTGAGCTGCTGGGGATCAGCGATCTGAGGAGGAAACACATCCCCCATTTGCACCACATGCAAAAGATGGCGGAGCAACGGTTGAGCGCCGTCAAATCTCCAGATGGTGAGATCGCACTCGAACGATTCCGAATGGGTTTCCACACGCTGCCCTCGCTGTGCCAGCTCCACCTGCATGTGATCTCTGACGACTTCGATTCGGTGTGCCTTAAGCACAAGAAGCACTGGAACTCATTCACCACGCCCTTTTTCAAGCCCCTCGCGGAAGTGGTGGCCCGGCTGGAAGAGGGAGGCGAGGTGGCAGTGAACCAAGAGGAGGCGGAGGGGTACCTCAAATGGGATCTGAGGTGCCATCGTTGCCAGCGGGGTATGGGGAAAATCCCACAATTAAAAGAGCACATTGCGCACTGCACAGGCGGAGAGTGATTGGTTACTCATTGTTTATGCTGGCATGATGCAAGGCAGCTGCATGGCAGCCCAAATAGAATATGCACAAATTCACTTCTGATAATGTTCCTTGGGCACAGCGTTAATGCTGTGTTTGCTTCAGGCAATGTTTCGCAAGGACGACTGTGGCAGTTGCTGCATCAGCACTGCACTGCTTTTGCACCACGAAGCCGGTTCGCTTGACCTGTGTGGGTGGCTTTGGCCGCCGCAGGAAGGGCGGCCAAGGCTGCCAAAGAACGATGATGGTGAGTGGGTGCTCACCCTGGGAGAATATGTTGTGTACATCATAGGAAATAGACAGCGGAGTGAAAGGGATTGGCATGGCTTTATTATTCTGTATTGACGATTGGCAATTGTACAGTGGACGACTGTGGCAGGTAGGTGCCACAACTGTAGATGCCTGTGGCGCTGCCAACAACACAAGACCATCTTTCGCATTTTTGAGCAAACAGCAAAATTTCGAACCCTGTAACTTCTTTAACTCGTTCATGCTCATTCTGCTTTTCCTGTTCACAATTCTGGAAGATCTGTCCACTCCCAAGCCATGTTGGACGAGTGGAGCAAGCACAAGAATTGTGGTGCTGTGAATGAGCACAAGGTGGGCGCATTTGAGTTGGGCTGGCCACTGTCATCTGAGTCAGCACCAACTGTCAGTGCAGCCACCGGCATGCCTCCTGCATCACCGCAGCAGTATCTGTGGAACTTTGTGGTAAAGCGTATTTGCTGGACAAGTGGCGCGAAAGCCTGCACGTTGGGCTATGGAGAGCTAGTCTGATGGACGTTGGCCTGCGAGACCCAGTGCCGGCGACACGTCCAAGAAGCCGCTCCTGCCCCTGCACTCTGGAGGAGCGTTGATCATTGAACGACCAAGGAACACATGCATAAGGGGGCGCTGAGTGCAACAGCATTAGAATTCCAATCGATGGCTTTGAGGCCGTCTGAGTTTTTGTTCTCCGCACAGATGGCATTGATGATACGTGTTTAGATCACGTTTTGCAGCAATTTGATGAATTCGGGGCAACCCAGTGGCAGTGCCTAAACGCCAAATTGGGGCAGGGATGGCATTCTTCAGGCGTGAGCCCAACTGCACCATTGGCCACCGGGACCTGCGTAGATCTTGGACAGTAATTCCAAGACTGCTGCTGCGACAGCGTGGTGGAGCGGAAACGCAATTACTTGAAGGAAGACTTCCTAGAGATCAATGACGATGCACTGAGAGAGACTCTCTCAATGGACTCACTCCAGTGATGAATGTAATTGATGGCTCGAGGATACGAAGCCATTTACTTGGCACATCGTTGTCAAAGAGACCCTATGTTGGCCATTTCAATCGCCACATCAGGACAGATCTGCGCTGGCACTGCACCACAATTCGCGGGCACTATCGGCTTACGTCATTTTCTGTAAGGGTTAAACCATTTCAAAAGTCCCGAACGACCATTGCGTAAGGGAAACTCTCCACGAACATGCACACATACATGCATGTACTTGCTCTGTCTCATATTGAATGTCATATACAAGTACGATTTTGGCGCATTGTTTCCCCATCAGAAGACTTCATTTCGTAATGAGATTTCGTCCAAAGCTGTGCTTATGTGTTTGGAATATGCCGTCAGAAAACCAAGTCAATCAGCTTATAATTGCAGATTTGGCATCAGTTTGTAGCAAGGGTCTGCCTAAAAAACCTCGAATTTGCTCTCAAAAACAACCAAAACCTGCCTTTCGCCCAAGGCCCCAAGGGGTCGGGTATCACTTCTTATCTTGAAGATAGGAAGTCAAGGGGTTTGGGACCCAATCTTTCCGACTAGGGCCTTTTGTAATGTTAAGGGCGCCTTGTAGCGAGTTGTGTATTTCAAATAGACGACATGCAATATGGGACACAGGAAGTACGCATGTGTGTACTGCACACAGACTGTGTTCAATTTTCAACAGGGCACTTATTGTCCATATTTGCACTAACAAAAGCAAACAGGCTCCAAGAGGAATCCCTCCCTATCCTTCAGTTCAATTCCCGAAATCATGCGCCGCTCACAAGGTAAGTTTGCTTCTTTCCTCGCCATCTCATTCAATCCATCTCTCATCCTATTTCGCCTTCCCATCAGTGGCCTCGCCTGGCTGCGCGGGCGCAACCGGCTGCAGGTAGGCCCTCACTGTGATGGAAACCTTCCTTCCCTCAGCAGAAGGAGGCGGCGGCAGCCCCCCTTTCATCAGCCCCCTCAGTGTCAAATTCACGAAATGGGGCATTCCCAGACGGGCGACCGTGTCTTCAGGAGCTTGGGTAGGCGCGGTGTACGTCACTTTCAGCGGTTTTAGGTCTCCGGCTGCCACCTGGATCTTGTTTGTGTCTATGGACCACCCAGTTGTCGTCTGCTCTGATGTCAAGGCCTCGATGATGAGTTCCCCAGGCGCCCCGCCGGTGCTGCTCTTCAGGCTGCCCACGTGCATGGTTGCTGTGGCCTTCTCGCCGAGATGCACCTGAGCTCGCCAAGAGCCGCGGATTCAACATGTTCGAGCGGGGAAAAGGACGTAAAATTAACTCCATAGCGCACACTGAAAAATTGAGAACTCCGCGCGAGGGATTAAGGCATCATGCTCCGGTCTCATCGTCCCTGGCATTGAATTTGAGCGTTTTACGCTATTTACATGTGGCACAGTGCACGGAATAGTCATTGTTGTTCGCATTTGGCATCCACTGTTTGCTTTGCATCAAAAGCTTCGGTTCCACTGTGGGAAATTCCGCATTTGCTCTGACAGATTTGTTGAGAAGATGCACAGTGGAAGTTTCGGAGATGCCAACTTCAGCAAGCTGTTACCAAAAATTTACGGAATTTTTCTATCTTTTTCTATCGTACACCAACATTGCCGATCAGGGGTCACGAGCAATTTTTGGCAAATACAAGGTTTCGTATTGCACACATTGAACATATTTAATACGGTATCGTTCCACATCCCTTTTTTTGATTGCGTCAGACAGCTGAAGCTTTCCGTGTGTGTGCTTTGGCCGATATTTCAATATTTTCTGCGAGAGTATATACGCATTCATTGGTTCCGATACTAGTTACCAAAACTGCGTATTATGTTGAAAGGTATCGCTAATTTGCTGTATTCGCATGGCGAGATCAGTATCGTGCCTCATATTATGGCATAGCTGCCATATCCTGTAACTACAGGGTAAAAAAAGGACCAAATAACACCTCTGCAAACACACATAAAACGCAATTTAACGTAAAAACTGCACACCTTTGAACACGTGTTATTTGGGCATTTTTTCCCTAGCGTTTATAAACGCAGCTCTGCGTTTGCAGGGTACATCCAAAATTGTCAAGTGATTATTCGTGCAAAATTATCTTGGCAGCATCCGTGCTGTCCCAAATAGGATCAATAAACACGACTCAACTGTCAGGCCTTCGATTCAGGAATCTCGATGACTTTATAGTGTCAACGTTTTCTGCAACGGCGTCCGCGGCAAGCTCTGAAAAGAATTCGGTTTGGAAGGCGGCCCGGCGAATTTACGGTACACAATTATTAAATATATATAATAATATAAAAATACAAAATTTGTATATCTAAAATAAAAATACATAATAATTAGATTAACGTACGGTGAATCATACTTCCCGTCGGAGTCTATCCGATCGATCTTCTCATCCTACCGTTTCTGCCATGTCAATTTTCAAATTCAGGGTCTCCCCGATGGAAGTGTCTTCCCTCTCATCTTCATCAAAGAAGGGGTCACATTCAATAGAAGGGTATCTTGCTCCTGTGATGAAAACTCCATGGCACCATCCGTGCCCCTGAGCGCAGAAAAGTACGCCGCGAATTTGGATTGGTACGTATCAAAACTCTATTTGCAAGTATGAACAATGTGAGAATATTAACGCATACTACATGCATGTAGCACAGTGGACACAACCACGGGCGGAACTTTTAACAGGGCAGCGACATTTCCCGATTGATATTCGGTTGTTCCCACGCTCGCAAAAATCAATGCTTGCTTGTTTGTTGTCCGTTTGTTACTGCTTGATATTCAATAGCGTCCAATGGGGAATGTAGAACAGCACAAGGGACCGCAATATATATCCATCCATTTGCGCACCACAACTGGAATCTCCGTGCCATGGGCTTGGCCGGCTGCTCTCAATTCCAGGACGTCTTCAAACAGCGGCATCTGCCTTTCGGGAGAGAACGTTATTGCCACATCCTGGGACCCTTCGGGCTCAAGGACGCCCTCCGCGGGGCGGCACGCGAACGCCTGAGGCGCCCCAACATGGGGACCCGCCTCAGCCCCCTTGAATTTGAACCTGAACTGCACCGGAAATTCGGACGGGTTGTGGATCTGGAGGATCTTTTCGTTGATGCCTCCGATGGCGACGTTTCCGGTGTCGACCCCGTCCAAGACCTCCGCAGGGAGCACCTTAGAGTATTCGAAAGTGGGATTAATGGCGGGTTAAAGGAATTAGAACTGGAACTTGAGAACGGAAGCTTTTCATTTTCATGCAATTGGTGCGTGCCTCGTGAGCATTGTGTAATGTACCGCACCAAATGGGTTGGTAACCTGATCAACAGTCACTTCGTGGTGGATGCACTGGTAGAAAACGCCATGTTTGCGACGCCAGCTGCGATGCCATTTTGACACAAATTGATGCTATCACAGTGATTGCGATGGCATAAAAGAGGCTGTGATGTCATCAATTTCTGCCAAATGGCAACGCAGTTTGCATCGCAAACAGGCTGTTTTCTACTGGTGATGTCACTATCTGCACGAAATGCAAATTTTTGTACGGATTTATGTGCACTACTGTCAAGTTCACCTCCATGCTGCGATTTCCTATCATACATTTGGATTCCACCTTGAATAATATGTGAAGTACTTGGGCGCCGTGAAAAAAGAATCGATCCTGAGTACCAAATTATGCAACGTTTCTGCGCGAAAGAGAGTTGGATGTTCCCCCTGTGGTGAAAAATGCCAAGAAGTTTGA